ACTGGGCATAGTGGTGCACGCCTGTAGTCCCAGCTACATGGGAAGCTGAGGCAGGAGAATCGCTTGAACCCAGAAGAAAGAGGTTGCAGTGAGCTGAAATCATGCCACTGCACTCTAGCCTGGGCGACAGAGCGAGACTCCGTCTCTCAAAAGAAGCGCGCACACACACACACACACACACACACACACACAAAACTCGCGGTTTACAACTAACAAAGACGTATTATACAAGTAGGTTGCTTATAATTTTTTTTCTTCTGAAGAGTCAACTTGATATAATTTAAATGTACATGGAAGAATTGCAAAGGAATCCTACTTTTAATTAATAAGGCAACTGAATTTTGACAAAGGGTAATACACAAAAAGCTGGTTTTCTACATAATTCACAGTTCTCACAAACCACCTATTTGTTTTCTCTCTCTGCTCAAGACCCCAAACTGGTGGCTGTGTGGCCTGTTCTTTGGTTGGAAATGAAGTTCTTCTAATTGGGAGGCTGAGGCATGAGAATCGCTTGAACCTGGGAGGTGGAGGTTGCAGTGAGCTGAGATCGCACCACTGCACTCCAGCCTGAGCAACAGATTGACACTCTGGCTCAAGAAAAAAAAAAAAAAAGTTTTTTTTTTAAAAAAAAGAACATTATTTAAAATTTTACTCCCAAATGATCAGGCAACAAAAATAAGATCCCTCTTATCTTGTGTGTCCTACTTCTTTTTCTTGTCTTACATATTTGTTTATTCTCCCAGATCCTGTGTCCTACTTCTATCTAATACAATATAGGCTATGAAGCTCCTCCTCCCCCTTCCTAAACTGCCACATCACAAATAATGCATATATTTATGTGTTTCAGAAGTAAATTTTCATTAGAAGTATAATTATTAATATACATTTCTGAACATCCATTTATTTATTTAAAAAATTAAATATCCAGCCTGAGTACTAGGTACTATTTGCTATTTTAAGTGGACAAAGTAGCACTACTTAATAAATAAGGCATATATCAATTCTCCTATTCACTGAGGTTATTCAACAATGATTACTCAGACTGCCTCTGATAGTGTTCTCCCTATGATATGTGTTAGAAAAAAATCCTGGACGTTGTGAGAGGTAAAACAGCATTAGCCTCACGTGCCACAGGAATAAATTTTCCAAAAATCTTTCAGTGTAGCCCCCTCTGAGAAGGCTTAAAAATGTTAAATATCATTTAATTTAGTGGTTTAAAAAATCTTTTTTGAGTATAGTAATGATGAATACTAGGTTGCAAATTTCATCTAATTAAATTTCCTGCTACTGTTGAGTACCCACAGAATTATAGCTTGTGTAAGAATATTAACCAACCATGCATCTTGTAGAATATGGTACTGGAGAGTTGATTCTGATAGCTCTGTTTTTAAACTTTGACCCCCCTAAGTTTTAAAATTAAAATGGAAAAATTATTTTTCAAATACAAGATACTGATCTAGCCTACAGATTCATTATTGTGATAATCCCCAAAATAATACAGAACAAGACACAAACCAGTGATTTTTACCTTAGCAAAGTGAGCTTGACATTTTATCCTTATGTCAAAACACAAGACTAGGCTTTCAGTGAAACAGCCGATGAGAATTCTCCCTTTGCAGCATTATCACATGTGCCATCAATTATCGCCATGCCTAAGTCTAGCATCATGCCAGCACATTAAGACAGAAGGTACTCTATGCAGTTTTCACTGGACCAGAAGGACAGAAATAAGAAAGGGAGGTGGAGTCCAGGTGTGGTGGCTCACACCTGTAATCCTAGCACTTTGGGAGGTCCAGGCAGCGGTATCGCCCAAGGTCAAGAGTTCGAAACCACCCTGGCCAACATGGTGAAACCTCATCTCTACCAAAAATACAAAAATTAGCCAGAGCATGGTGGTGGGTGCCTGTAATCCCAGGTACTCGGGAGGCTGAGGCAGGAGAATCGCTTGAACTCAGGAGGCGGAGGTTGCAGTGAGCCAAGATCATGCCACTGGGTGACAGAGCAAACACTCTGTCTCAAAAAAAAAAAAAAAAAAGGAGAGTGGCAGATGGAGAGAAAGAAGAGAAGAAATTTTAAAAAGGCAGACCGTGCAAAACAAAAGAGATCATGGCTGCTTAGCTAGTATGGGCCAACGGCTGTGGAAGAAAAATGTCGTACACCCCAAGTTGTGTAAATTTCTATAAACATCTAAATACACAAACACACACAACACCAACCTAATTAGGAACATTAATATATGTTGATCCTTTACTATGTTACAGTTTTGAAAATAAAAGCTAAAGTTAAACTATCTGCACTCTCTAAATTGCCTTCTTATTTTCCTAAGAAGCTAGTGTTTCTTAAGGGGAAGAGGGCTTGTCATGATGGTTATAAAGATTAAGATTCCCTCTTTGACTTTTTTTCCTCACTAAAGTTTTACCAATAACTCACTGAAACCCTTTTGAATATGTACACTTAAGCACAAATAGTAAAGGCTGACAATAATGACAAGTTCATTTTAACAATGGACTGTTATTTAAAAATAATGTTTTTCAAAATAAAAATAATGTTCAAATATTTAGATTTTTTTTTCTTTTTGAGACAGTTTTGTTCTTGTTGCCCAGGTTGGAGTGCAATGGTGTGGTCTCTGCTCACTGCAACCTCCGGCTCCTGGGTTCAAGGAATTCTCCTGCCTCAGCCTCCCAAGTAGCTGGGATTACAGGTGCCCGCTACCATGCCCAGCTAATTTTTTTGTATTTTTGGTAGAGACGAGATTTCACCATGTTGGCCAGGCTGGTCTTGAACTCCTGACCTCGGGAGATCCACCCACCTCAGCCTCCCAAAGTGTTGGGATTACAGGTGTGAGCCATTGCACCTAGCCGAAGTTTTGTTTTGTTTTGTTTTGTTTTTAAACTAAGAGCCAGGTAAATAAATCTCCTTGTTCTATTGCTTGATATCATCAGTGTCTAAAACTAAGCAGCGTGAAAAGATAGAAATAATCAACTTTTGACAAATACTAGACATTTCTTAAGCTACAGAGCCCAAACTTGCCATATTTCACAAGAGTCTGGTAAATAAAACGTATTACTCCTTAACTGTTTCTTTTTTTTTTTTTTTTTTTTTGAGACAGAGATTCGCTCTCTCGCCCAGGCTGGAGTGCAGTGGTACGATCTCAATCTCAGCTAACTGCAACCTCCACCTTTCGGGTTCAAGTAATTCTGGTTCCTCAGCCTCCCAAGTAGCTAGGATTACAGGCATGCACCACCACGCCCAGCTAATTTTTGCTATTTTTGTAGAGATGGGGTTCACCATATTGGCCAGGCTGCTCTCAAATTCCCGACCTCAGGTGATCCGCCCACCTCAACCCCGCAAAGTGCTGCAATATGGGTGTGAGCTGCTGCATCGGGCCCTTAACTGTTTCTAATGGAACTTTAAAAATTGTGTTTCCATATTCTACTTATGTGGGAACATTTCATACAAAATTATATTGCCCAGGAAATGTGAATCTATAGGATCAAAATATATTTTACTTCTTCATTCAATTCACAAAATGCTAAACTTTAACTTGCTACCTTCAACAAAATATTAGTATGGGCCAAAAAGATATTTTTCCCCTATCAAAATTCTAATGTGTTTCTAGATTGTTTTGAACTGATTTCCCAACATATTAAATATTAGATTACATCCCAAACTCTATCTGGTTACTGTATGGCATGCAAGAAAACAACTCTAAACTGTATTGGTTATTAACAAGTTTAACCTGATTCACATTAAGTGTCACATGAACACTACCCACCTAACTGGCTAAGACCCGAAATTAAGGAATGATCATCTTATGGATTCTGTAGGCTTATCAAGTGATGCTTGTTCAATTTCCAAGTGTCCCTTTTCATATTGATCAAAGTGATTACCCTGAAAAAAGATGATCACAGCTATTTTTCGAGAGCAATAAATGTCAAATTTACTAAAAGCCTAACCAAACTAAGGGTTATTTTTAAGTTTGTTTTTTGTTTTTGTTTTAACCTAAAAGGAGACTGCAATCATTCCTTTTCAGTAGACAATCAAAACCACTCCACAAATTCCAACTTTTAAAAATTTATAAAAACGTATTAGGGCCGGGCACAGTGGCTCATGCCTGCAATCCCAGCACTTTGGGAGGCCGAGGCAGGAAGATCACAGGAACCCAATAATTCAAAACTAGCCTGGGCAACACAGTGAAACCCTGTTTCTGCAAAAAAAAAAAAAAAAAAAAAATTTAATTAGCCACACATGGTAGTGTGAACCTGTAGTCCCCGCCGTTCAGGAGGCTGAGGTGGGAAGATCACTTGAGCCCAGGAGGTCGAGGCTGCAATGAGCTGTCATCAAGCCACTGCACTCCAAGCCTGGGTGAGAGAATGAGACCCTATTTCAAACAAAACAAAACTTATTAGGAATCTAGGCCTAGTAATCTGAACTTTTCTCCTCCTAACAAGTGTTGAAATTGTAAACTAAAACACTATCAACCATTTGGGACACCAGCTGTCTTAGACTGACTACATTAGGAAGACTACGGACTCTTACGAACTGAGGCAGAGCACGCCGGTCCCCCAGAGCCCTCCAGGCTCCTCTGGCCCCGGGCGGGCAAGTGAGCTGGGGGCTCCAGGACAGGCCGCGGCCTCGCCCTGCACACACCTGGGGCCCCGCTGTGGCTGCCCCCTGGCCAGGCCCAGGCCTTGAAGCTTCCCCACCCCACCTCAATGACTGACGGCGGCGTCGGCCTCTCTCAGCCGGGACGAAACCCCACCAAGTGGGGCCTTTGGATGGCGGCGGGAGTGGCGGGCCTGGAAGCCTGGCGGCTGCCCGAAAGAACACCAATCAGCGGAGGACCTGAGGGTGCAGAGGCCTGGGAAGGCGGCCTCCGGACGCAGGCAGTCTTGGCCACCTCATTAGGCCTCCGAGCGGCGCAGACCTGGTCCCAGTGACCGCTCTGTCCCCACTGACTGAGACAACCTAGTCCTAACCTCAACGGACAAAGGCCTTACCGGGCCTGGAAGGCACGCGGAGTCCCAAACGACCACGGGTAGAACGGTCAGCGGCCATCAGACGGTTGGTCTTTGTGCTACTAGACCTTGCTGCTGAAAGAGAGAAATAGTAGAGTAACAGACCATGTTTGGCCCGTTGGAAATGCCCACCGCCCTCTGGGAAGATTTACTAGCCGTTTATAGGAGGCCTGTGTACATAATATGAAAAAGCTGCTCTCAACTCCACCCCAACCTTTTAATAGCAAATATTTGCCACATCTAGCACTTTTAGATGGAAAGAGCCATGCTGTTTTACATTTATAAGCAATATTGCATTAAATTTTTAATAATGAAGAAAATCAGTCGTAATTGTCAGGCCTCTGAGCCCAAGCCTGCAGGTTTACATCCAGTTGGACTGAAGCAACTAAAGAATCACAAAAGAAGTGAAAATGGTCGGTTCCTGCCTTAACTGATAATATTCCACCAGTGTGATTTGTTCCTGCCCCACCTTAACTGAGGTATTAACCTTGTGAAATTCCTTCTCTTGGCTCAGACGCTCCCCCACTGAGCACCTTGTGACCCCTGCCCCTGCCCGCAAGAGAAAAACTCCCTTTGACTGTAATTTTCCACTACCCACCCAAATCCTACAAAACTGCCCCACCCCTATCTTCCTTGCTCTCTTTTGGAACTCAGCCCACCTGCACCCAGGTGATTAAAAAGCGTTATTGCTCACACAAAGCCTATTTGGTAGTCTCTTCACATGGACACGCATGACAATAATAATGAGAGATGAAGCCAGCCGGACTTCCTGGGTCCAGTGGGGACTTCCAGAACTTTTCTGTCTTACAAGACGTTTGTAAAATGAACCAACAGCGCTCTGTAAAAATGCACCAATCAGTGCTCTGTAGCTAGCCAGAGGTTTGTAAAATGTACCAATCAGTGCTCTGTAAAAATGCACCAATCAGCGCTTTGTAGCTAGCTAGACGTTTGTAAAATGGACCGATCAGTGCTCTGTAAAATGGACCAATCAGCACTCTGTAAAGTGGACCAATCAGCAGGACACGGACGGGGACAAATAAGGGAATAAAAGCTGACCACTCCCAACCAGCAGCAGCAACCGTCTGGCCTCCCCTTCCATAGTGTGGAAGTTTTGTTCTTTTGCTCTTCACAATAAATCTTGCTGCTTCTCACTCTTAGGGTCCATGCCATCTTTAAGAGCTGTAACACTCACCATGAAGATCTGCGGCTCCATTCTTGAAGTCAGTGAGACCACGAACCCACCAGAAGGAACCAACTCTGGACACAATAATGAAAATAAAACCTATACTTTAATGCTGCTCAATGCTGATCGCATTATTTTAAACTAAAACTGCTAAGACATGAAACTTTAAATCAATTAATACCTCCTGACTTTTCAAGGAATTAAAAACAATCTCTTGACAGTTTCCAAAGCAACTATTCATCAAGATGATCTGCCTAGAGAGATAAACATGCCCATATAATGCTGTATTTGATCATAAGCAAGTTGTCACTGCAACTAAAATAAGTAAAAACAGTTTCAACAAATGATAGTTGCAGACAACTAAGAAGTTCTCTCTAATCATAGTTTTCACACATCTCCCTGCTTCATTAGGAAGTAATAGCTCATAATTTGATTTTAAATCAAAATATCAATTTTCTGGTTCCCTTCTTGCCATAAAGTATAGGGCTTGAGGATTTGTGAATCCCACAATGACCTAAATCAAAAGACTAAAGACTTCAGTCTTTTGGTCTAGCCTAAGTGAATTCAGTGTGTGGAATGATATGATAACTGGAATGCTAACCTACCAAAAAGTTACTTTGCTTTTTCAAGGTAAAATTAAAATTCTAAATGAGGAATCGCACATGTACCTCAGAACTTAAAGTATAATTAAAAAAAAAGAAAAAAGAAACAAAAAAACTGGACTTCCCCAGGGAAAAATCCATTTGATGATCAGGCTTCACCGAGTATTCCTTTGTAAACTCCTAGATGAAATTTGCAAGGCAAGCAGGAAAAGCACTGAAATTGCTGAATAGGTGAGCATTATATGCCTGATTCATTAAATGTATGCATTGGTAAATATATGAAAAAAATATGGCCGGGCGCGGTGGCTCAAGCCTGTAATCCCAGCACTTTGGGAGGCCGAGACGGGCGGATAACGAGGTCAGGAGATCGAGACCATCCTGGCTAACCCGGTGAAACCCCATCTCTACTAAAAAAAATACAAAAAACTAGCCGGGCGAGGTGGCGGGCTACTCGGGAGGCTGAGGCAGGAGAATGGCGTGAACCCGGGAGGTGGAGCTTGCAGTGAGCTGAGATCCGGCCACTGCACTCCAGCGTGGGCGACAGAGCGAGACTTCGTCTCAAAAAAAAAAAAAATATATATATATATATATATAATTGAATAAATAAAATTCAGTGATGGGGAGCTCTAACATGTAATTTGCCACATTGTATTATAAATGTTAGGTTTCTCTTACGATCTCTGAAGTCCTTGAGTACAAGAACTGAGTCTTGTTAATCCTTTACAAACCTAATACTTAATATGACAGCCAAACACTAGGGAACAATAAGGTGCTAACATGGTGTGGCAATGATGAACAAGTTCTAGAACAAGGTGGTGGGAGTGATGGTTGTACAATATTCTTAATGTACTTAATGCTACTGAACTATATAATTCTTTTTTTTTAAGAGGAGGTCTCCCAGCACTTTGGGAGGCTGAGGGGGGCGGATCACTAGGTCAGGAGATCGAGAACATCCTGGCTAACACAGTGAAACCCCCGTCTCTACTAAAAATACAAAAAAAATTAGCCGGGCGCGGTGGCGGGCACCTATAGTCCCAGCTACTCAGGAGGCTGAGGCAGGAGGATGGCGTGAACCCGGGAGGCGGAGCTTGCAGCGAGCCGAGATGGCGCCACTGCACTCCAGCCTGAGCAACAGACCGAGACTCCGTCGGGGCGGGGCGGGGCGGGGCGGGGCGGGGGAAGAGAAGGAGGTCTCGTTATGTTGGTCAGGCTGCCTTCAAACTCCTGGGCTCAAGGAGCCCAGGCTCAGCCTCCTGACTAGCTGGAACTACAGGCTCCACTACACGTGGCTTGAATTATATATTTTAAAATAGTTAAAGTGATAAATTTTATTACATGTATTTTACCACAATAAAAATAATAAAAATAAAATTGTGGCAAAGTCTAGCCAAATGAAGAAACGGAAAAAAAGGAAGAAAAATTGAATAGCAAGGGACAGGAGTATGTTTTCCAAAGACAGAAGGAAAAAAAAAAAAAAAAAAAAGGACTTAAGAGTAGGTATTTCAGGAATGAGAAAAAGCACTCATCAACAAAAGATTTTAAAAATTTTAAAATAGCTATTAATCCTGAAAGTCTGTCTTAAATTAACCTCAATATTTTGTCCAATGATCTTTTTAAAATAACACCTGCTTCTTGGCATTTTAATTTCTACTACATTTAAATTTTTAAGTTAATTTAAAGGTGTTAATTGCAAAGTACTTCTAAATTACTAAATAATAAACATCCAAATACTGAGACTAGCTCAAACCTCATTATATTATGGAACACCAGTGTACAGCCAAATATCAATTCTTTCACTCTACAGGTCTATACAATTTAATGATAAAAGAATAGACAAGGCACAGTGGCTCGTGCGTGTAATTCTAGCACTTTAGGAGGCTGAAGTGGGAGCATTCATTGCCTGAGGCCAGGAAGCTGGACTTTAGCTTGGGCAACATAGTGAGACCTTGTCTCTACAAAAAAATTAACGGGGTGTGGTGGCATGTGCCTGTATTCCTAATCCTATAGTTCTAGCTACTCGGTAAGCTGAGGCTCCTGCCTCACTTTAGCCCAGGGGTTCAAGACTGCAGTGAGCTGATTGAGCCCCTGCACTCAGGCCTAGGTGACAAACCAAGAGTCTGTCTCAAAAAAAAGAAAAAATCTCATCCTAAAAACAGTAATTATGTACTTTTTAAAAGTAATTAAACCTTTACTTAGTTTGTTTAGAGACAGAGTCTCTCTCTGTCACCCAGGTTGGAGTGCAGTGGGGCCATCATCGCTTACTGTAACCTTGAACTCCTGGGCTCAAGCAATCCTCCCACCTCAGCTAGGACAACAGGAATGCACCACCATGCCAGGCTATGTTTTTGGGTTTTTTTCTTTTTCTTTTTTTCTTTTTTTTTGAGACGGAGTCTTGCTCTGTCACCCAGGCTGGAGGGCAGTGGCACAATCTTGGATCACTGCAACCTCCACCGCCTGAGTTCAAGCGATTCTCCTGCCTCAGCCTCCTGAGTAGCCGGGATCACAGGCATCCATCACCATACCCAACTAATTTTTTGTTTGGTTTGTTTGTTTTAGTTGAAACAGGGTTTCACTATGTTGGCCAGGCTGGTCTCAAACTCTTGACCTCAGGTGATCTGCCTGCCTCGGCCTCACAGAGTGCTGGGATTACATGCCTGAGCCACCACACACAAACTGTTTTTGATTTTTGTAGAGAGGGGGTCTCGCTATGGTGCCCAGGTGGTCTCAAACTCCTGGGTTCAAGTGATCCTCCTGCCTCTGCCTCTCAAAATTCTGGGATTACAGGCATAAGCCATCAAGTCTGGCTTACGTATTTAACTTAAGACAACTATGTGATGGTTTTAAACAAAAAGAGAACTGCCCCAAAATGTATCACTATCAAAGAAGATATAAAGCATAAACACAGATTCTTAGAGAACTACCAAGTACTTCTACAAAAAAGAAAATGGGCATCTTCTAGGAAAAACCATTTCAGCTCATCCCTACTCCATGAAAAATCACACAAGTTTTTCCAAACAGATAATGAATCATTAGCAAAATCTTCCTTTAATTTTAGGCTTAAAGTTATTTTAGAAAACCCTTCTGTAGATTACAAACTACTGTCAGCAAATGCCAGGTTCCAAATAAGACACTTGACAAATTTCTAAATTTGTTAGCTAATTAACTTTTCAAATCATTCTGGATCTGTCAGATGCAATAGAAATCAGGATTAATAATATAGTTTTAGAGTTTTAGTCCAAAAAAAGACCCACACATCTATGATTAACTAATCTTCAACAGAAGTACAAAGAGAATCCAACACAGAAATGACAGTGTTTTCAATAAATGACACTAGAACTAGGTGTCCATATGCAAAACAAAAAAGAGCCTCAATCTATACTTTGAATCATAATAAACAATTAACTCCAAATGCACTGCAGACCTAAATGTAAAACTGAAAATGAAATATTCTAGAAGACAAAATACAAAAGAAAGTCTTTGTGACCACAGGCTAGACAAATATTTTCTTAGAGACAACCCAAAAGCACAATATATGAAATAAAAAATTGATAAGCTGGACTGGGAGAAAATATTTACAGAGATTATTCCTTTTTTTAAAAAAAAAAAAAATGTGTTGATTTAGAATAACTAAGGGTCTTGCTATCACCCAGGCTACAGGGCAGTGGTGCAATCACGGCTCACTGACTTCCTGGGCTCAATTATTCTCCCACTTCAGCCTCCCAGGTAGCTGGGACTACAGGTGTGCACTAGCACACCTGACTAATTTTTGTTCATTTTGGTGTGTTTTTTGTTTTGTTTTGTTTTCGGTAGAGACAGGGTTTCACCATGTTGCCTATGTAAATAAAATGAGAAGAGGCTGGTTCCTACAAGATAATTTTTATTTTATTTAAGTTAACCATGGTAAAGACTGAGTTCTTTCACATCCTTGCTCTTGTCCACTGTGTTACCCAGGCTGTTTTCAAACTCTTGGGCCCAAGCAGTCCTGTTGCCTCAGCCTCCAGAGTAGCTGAGATTATAGGCCCAGTCTTTTAAAGGTAATTTGCACTGTTAAAATTATGCCCATTAAGGACATTTTTTTGTAAAATGCTTTTCTCGAGACATTTTGTTAGACCGAACTCATAGGCAGAATTAAAAAAAATTTTGTTTGGTAAGAACTTATCTTACCTCTAGATATGTTATCTAGTCTGACAGCCTGGTCACAGGTGAGGAAAGGTTGTGCTAGCAATGTGTTTAATTTTTTAGTACATTGTGGCCCCTTTTATTAAAATATACTATTAAACACAAATAATACAAAAGTAAAATGGATATTCTTAAAAGTTCAGGCTACACTGTAACAAGTAAAAACTGAAAAAACACCCCAATTCCTCTGTTTCA